ATTTTGGTTATATTATTATTACTGCTATTATATTATTATTATTGCTATTAGTTTGTGTGCTAAGATTTACTACCAACTCTTGTTGGTTTTGTTCTATTTGTAAAGGATGCTCTGACAATGCACTGTTTTTCAAAAATGTTTATGAATAAAAATTTACAATAATAATAATAATAAAAGGAAATCTTTATTGCTACTTGTTTTAACTTGGCTCCTGACTGGACTTGACAGGAGATTCAGAAGCAGTGCTCAGGGTCTTTAATGCAGACTGCAAGGAAACCATGCAAAATAAGAATTTAGCACTGCCAGTGAGAATGCACACATTACCTTTAATCCCCACTGTACTTTAAACATTTTTTTTCTTTTTGCCATTCCATGAATAGATAAAATCTTTATTCAGCATTTGGTAACTTTTGGGCAAAAGGTCAGGCAGTATTACATATTTATATAATTGCCATCTCTTAAGAATCATTTGTTTATATCTGTTGAACCTCAAGGCTGCAAAAAGCCATCAATAGGGAGATAGGTAGCTTGAAATATATCAAAATGCCCAGCTGCTTGATTGTCATGGAAGAGTTGCAACAATTTACTCCTGAAGGAAAAAGGAAATTATAATTGGTTGATATGTGCTGTTATTCCTGTTTTCAGGAAATAGGAAAGAAGGTGGCAAAGCGTTTCCCTAATCAGTCTGTTTGTTGTGTATGATTAAAATATGGGAAATTGGGGCCACCTGACCTGGTACTGTATAAGATGGTGACAAATGTTCCAAATTCTTATAGTCTGTTTGAACTTCCAAAGGATCGCCTTCAGAAAATTTAATTTAATTTAGTACTTTAATTTAATTTAATTCTATCCTGTCTTTATTATTTTTACAAACAACTCAAGGCAGCAAACATATCCAAAATGCATTCCTCCTTCTATTTTCTTCACACCAACAACTCTGTGAAGTGAACTGGGCTGGAAAAGAGTGACTAGCCTAAAGTTATCCAGCTGGCTTTCATGGGTAATATAGCCTCTGAGAAGATTGTGCTGATACTGAATTAAAAGCTTCTGTAATGGCCAAATGTTCCTTCTTAAAAACATCATAAGGTGTTTCAGGCAATAACAACTCTGCAGAAACAAATACAGTCAATGTCAGAAAAATGTAAAAGCTCAAAAAAGGTTAGCAGAGGATGCTAAAAAAACCAAATGTTTCTTTTGGCAAGTTGGGGGGGAAAGGGGAAAAATGGGTGATCCCTGTATGAACTGCTTAGTTATAAGGTAAAATGCTAATAGGTGACAAAAGGCACAGCTCCTCAACCTCCATATTAGTCCAGCAGAGCAAATGCGTAGGATTGAAGTTTTAAAATAAAAAACATTGTCAGGGAATTCCTGTTTATTTTAAATGAATTTAAATCTCCATAGCTAGATAAATTATATCCAAGGATACTAAAGAGGCTAACTGATAGTCTGGCTGAACTCTCATCTATTATATGTGAAAAATCTTGCAAAAATTTGTGAAGCGCCAAATATCTGAAGCAGAACAATATTCCTTTGTCCAAAAAAGAAGGAAGTTCCAGAAAAGTATAGTCTCTAGTCAATCTAATGTATGAATCTCTAGTGTTTCATAAACAAGCCAGTCTGTAACAAAGCTGAAAACAATTGCCAGATGTTATCACTGCCTTATCAAAAACAAATATATCCTGGTCTAATCTTATCCCATTTTTTAATTAGTTAAGTTCTTTGACAGCTTGTGGGAATGCAAATTATTTGATACATGTATCTCAATTTTGGGAAAGCATTTGACAAAGTACCCATGAATATAGAATACAGAATAATAGTTGGAAGAAGGTCCAAAGTTGAAGGTCTTCTCTCCAAACCCCTATACTTTTCCGGAAAAATGGCTGTCCAATCTCTTCTTAAAACCCTTCCGTGTTGGAACACCTACAACTTCTGGAGTAAAGCCATTACACACTATCAGGAAATTTTTCTTTAATTCTAGGTTGGATCTCTCCTTGATAAGTTTCCATTTGTTACTTCATGCCCTGCCCTTAGGTGGTTTGGACAATAGGACTTCCCCCTCTTCTCTATGGTAGCCCCTCAAATATTGGAAGACTGCTATCAAGTCACACCTAGTCCTTCTCTTCATTAGACTAAATATATCCAGTTCCTTCAATTGTTCATTATATATTTTAGCCTCCAGCCCCCTAATCATCTTTGTTGATTTTTTTCTGCAACAAAAGGTCTTTTTTTATCATGGTGACCAAAACTGGATTCAGTATTCCATGTGTGGACTTACCAGAGCAATATAACAGTAGTACTAACATTTCATGTGACCTTGATACTCAAGGGTGGGTTCTAGTTACCTTTACTACCAATTCGCAATGGGATCACGCATGCACGCTCGCTTCACTCGCGCATGCACAGATCACCAATGATGACATCCGGGGCAGTGGGCGGGCCCTTCTGCTGGTTTTACTACCGGTTCTTGCAAACCAGTCTGAACCGGAGGCAACCCACCACTGTTGATACTATCCCTCTGTTGATGCAGCCTAGGATTGCGTTTGCTTTTTTGGCAGTTGTAGAACACTGCTGAGTCATACTTAAGTGGTTGTCCATTAGGATTCCTAGAGCCCTCTCACAATTATTGATGATTAGCAAGCTTATTAAAATAAGAAGGGTGGGAGTAACTCATTTCCTTTAGTCTTGTAGAATTAGAAATGTTTGTTGGAGATTGGAATAGGGGGGGATTTGGGATTTATGTATATGCTACTAGCAAGGGAAAGACAGATAGTTGCTTCCAGTATGGAACACTTTGGATAGCAAGATGAGTGACATATTAAACAAACAAACAAAATAAATAAATAAATATTAGTGATATACAGCAAATGAGAAGGGAAAACCAGCATCAAGGCAGAAGTAAATGCTTGAGTATATTCAACTTTTTTTAAAAAAATTGCCATGGTATCTCAACAAGAGGGTTTCCTTTTCCTCTTATCGAACCTATTCAACTCCTCAAACAAGCCTAAGGTTCTATATAACCCAGAATTAAAAATCCAGCCATAGAAGACAGAAATAAAATTAAATTTATTCCAACAAAGAGCTGAAAGTAAGAACAGCATTTAACGGGGTGGGGGGGTGGGGGGGTGGGAGCTATTTAGCTAAGGAAAAAAAATCCTTAAATGCACAGGTATAGCAATAGCACTTTGCAATAGCATGTAGACTTATATATTGCTTCATAGTGCTTTACAGCTCTCTCGAAGCGTTTTACAGAGTCAGCATATTGCGTCCAACAATCTGGGTCCTCATTTTACTGACCTCAGCAGGACGGAAGGCTGAGTCAACCTTGAGCAGATCAGAATTGAATTGCTGGCTGTCAGCAGAATTAGCCTTCAATACTGCATTCTAATCACTGTGCCACCATGGCTCCTATAAAATGGCAAAAACTTGGCTTGGCAATGGATCTTTCTAGAAACATCTTGGACCAGGCATTGATGAGCCAGAAATGTGATATGACTACAAATAAAACAGAGAAATTGGAAATCTCTGAGAGGTTATGAATAAATACAAAATTATGCATTTATATTATATGACACAGAGAAACAACACGGTCAACTTTGGATGTATACATGGCGAGAAAATGAATCTTGCAAGTTTACCAGATGGATGGCATAGGGAACAAAGCTGTTACAGAATCTGGTAGTCCTGGTAGAAATATTTTGAAACCTCCTCCCAGAGGGGAGCAACAGAAACAGACCGTGACCTGGGTGTGTGGGGTCTCTAACAATGCTTTGAGCTCTAAGCACATAGTGCTTATAAGCAGTATCCTGAATAGCAGGAAGCAGGCTTCCTATAATTTTTTTGACTGTCCTTATCACTCCTTGAATGGACTTTCTATCTGAGGCACTGCTGCCACCAAATCAAACAGTGATGCAGTTTGTTAAAACGCTCTCAATGGTGCCTCTGCAAAGAGTAGCTAGGGCAGACGGAGAAAGATATGCTCTCCTCGTCGGATGCAAGAAATTCAGATGCTGGTTGGCATGTATGTAAAAGAGATCAGTATTTCCTGGATATTTTATTAGATGTGGTGTTATAAACTGAGTCCATAAGTCCTTATAAAAGTTGTAGTATAGGTGGAGTCTTTATGCTTTGTTTGGTAACTTTAAGACTAAGCAGTTACAGGTAGTCTTCATGTAGTTATTGCAGCAAAATGGCTGGTGAGGAAAGCACATGACCAGAGAGAAGCTGTGAAGATTGCTGTTTGTTGCACATTCATTCAAATACAATTCTCTTGTATAATGTCTTCTGCCAACGATCCATTTTCCCTCTTTTTTTCCCACCTTGCAGGGTTGAGAGGATGCTCCAGGAAGCTATCTCTTCTTCCTCTGCAGTGAAGTATGTCCCTAAAAATAATAGGTTGGTAGCTCCTTTCTGAAACTGACTTAATCAGTTTCACACCAAAATCTTTTATTATTGTAAATAAGCATATTGTTCAGTTTTTTTTTATTCCCACTTATTTCTTTATGGGATAGGATCTGATTATTTGAAGGATTGCCTATCTGTGATAGCTTCTGCCCATCCAAATAGGCAAAGTAAGTGCATTCCAGATTGCTTCAATCCAACAATGTAATCCAGTGGGAGTAGGAAGTGTGTGTTCTCAGTGCCTGGCTCTGCCCTCAGGAACAGGACCCCTCAGAGATATGTATGGTTCTCACTCTGACAATCATTGAAAGTAATTGAAAACCTGGCTATTCACCCAGGCCTTAGAGAAGGCTGGCTGTTGATGCCCAGCAGGTTGCTTTGTTGTTCCGTTTCACTTATTTTCTGGACATATGTGATTTGTATCTGTCTGTTCATTGATTTTTGGTTTAAAGTGTAAGCTTCCTAGACTTGATTAGAGTTAAGCAATGTATAAATTGTGTGAATCATTATAAAAACTTATTTGCATTTATTTCTGAACGCTGCCGAGAAGTGAGTCACTTTGTCAATTTATGTCACCACAAATTTGACATACTCTGTGTCTGGATTTATTTCTAATCCTTGGAGTTCTTTGTATAAATAAAACATTTATTTGTTTGTTCTGAACCAGGAAGTTCTCTGGCTCACCAACAAAAGACACCAACTGCCTATTGAAAATAAAGACACTCCTTTTCTCTCCATTCATCACATTTTGCCGTTTGGGCCTTGGCTGTGGAAATTTTTGCTCTGTCCGAAGCTGCCAATATTCTTCTTGGAGTTCTGAAGATCGGAGATTTCTCTACTGCCACTCCAATGATGGCATTATCTTGCAACCAGACTGGGCTCCTAGCTTGGATCTTGCTGCTGTTGTCCTTGTCTGAAGTTCAAAGTAAGTAAAATGAGGGTTTGGGGGTTTGCTTTTGGGGGTTTGCTTTTGGTTTCTGAAAGAAAAGGGGTTGACCTGGCTTCTGGGAGGTTAACTGTTTTCTGAGAGAGAACTGAGGCTTCCTCAAGCCATGGTCCCACTTTTTTTAAAACAGCTTTTTATACTTTGCTTTATTTTGTGCTTACCAGGACTCTTTGGAGGGCAAGGCTAACATTGCTTGGAGTTCATCCATTCTCTCACTGCTCAATTCCTTCCAGTGTGGGTGGAATATTAAAATTGTGTTCTCTGTACTAAAGGGCTATTTTATTTCTATGCTGGTCCTGTCAATATAATTGAGAACTCAGTTCTCAGCATTTTGAAGATGGGCTCAAGTTAACCAGTCCAGGACAGAATCATAGGTCAGACTTACAGCAGCATTTGATATGGTAAACAGAGAAGTACTATGGAGTAAACTGACATCTGTTAAAATAGAACCTAGACTGCTGGCTTTGATTAAAACCCTTTACACAAGTACCTATTTGAGGGTGCAGTATGGGGTTAACTCTGAATAACAGGATTCACACAAATAAAGGGGTAAGGCAAGTGTGTATCCTGGCCCCATTATTATTTAGTTTATATGTCAATGACTTGCCAGGGTTAATGAAGGATCCCATGGTACACATGCTGATGATCCTAAATACTTACTGTAACAGCTTGCTTTATGCTGATGATATGATTTTATTATCATATTCATTAGTAGGATTACATAGGCTATTAAGAAGATTTAGCTCTTATTGCCAGGATAACTCCCTAATCATTAATAAAACTAAATAAAAAATAATTGTGTTTGGAAAACATCATCAGAACCATAGGTGGCAGGGATGGGTTCTAAATTTTTTTACTACCGGTTCTGTGGGCGTGGCTTATTTTGTGGGCATGGCTTGATGGTCATGTGACAATTCTTTAGGATTTAGCAGAGGTACTGGTCTACCAGGCTTTTAACTACTTGCAGAGCTGTACCAGTCTACCCATTTGTTCTTGGAGCGTCCTGGTCTACCCATTTGTTTTTCGAGCATCCCGGTCTACTCATTTGTTTTTGGAGGCACTGGTCTACTCATTTGTTTTTGGAGGCACCGGTCTACCCATTTGTTTTTGGAGGCATCAGTCTACCCATTTGTTTTTGGAGGCACTGGTCTACTTATTTGTTTTTGGAGGCACCGGTCTACCCATTTGTTTTTGGAGGCATCAGTCTACCCATTTGTTTTTGGAGGCACCGGTCTACCCATTTGTTTTTGGAGGCACCGGTCTACTCATTTGTTTTTGGAGGCACCGGTCTACTCATTTGTTTTTGGAGGCACCGGTCTACTACCACACTGCCTTTTAACATTGATCAGCTGTAGGGCGGCCCTTTGAAGCCCTGCAGCAAAAGTTTAAACAGTTTTTTTCGTTCTAGCCATCAGCTGGGACTCGGGAGGCAGCAAATAGATTGGGGGCGGGGCCAAATAAAAGGTAAGAATAACGCGGGTGGGGTGGGAAGGCCCAGCTCCCGAACAAAGAGAATCGGTTCGGTGACGTAATATCGTCACTGCTACTGGCTCGGTGGAACCAGGCGGAACCAGGAGGAACCCACTACTGATAGGTGGCAATTAGATGTTGAACCAACTCAACAGGTTAACACCTTTGTATACTTAGGTGTAACTTTTTCCAAGACTGGATCTTGGGCTTGCCATCTTCAACAGAGTACACTTAGAGCAAAAACCTGTTTGAATTTACTGCTTAAACTAAAGAACCATAGCTACCCATGGTCCCTAGCCCCATTAATTAAAGCATATAAAGCTAAGCTAAAGCTTACCCCTATGCTCTTGTATGGAGCAGAGGTTTGTGGTCTATATTCAACCACAGTCCTAGAACAAACACAGTCCCAGCATTTGAGATGTATTCTGGGTGTAGATCCAAGAACATCTGCTGCATCAGTTAGAGCTGAATTGGGAATTCATGCAATTCATGCACTATCCAAAATTAGAGCATATAACTACTGGTGCAAAGTCAATGAAATGGAGACTGATAGACTCCCCAAGTTATGTCTACTAGAGTAAACAAAATTACAATCACAAATCTCGTGGATCACCAAACTAACAAATTTTGTAAGAAGCTGTGGCCTTCCTGTCTCTTGTGTAACAGGAGAACAATTCAAAAAAAGAGGTGCCCAAAGTATTAAGGATATAGAAGCACAAAATGATATAGCTATCCTTAGTAAGATGGGTAACTTGAAATGGCTAAGCAAATACAAATGTACTTTTCAAGTAGAAGCTATTTGAAGTTACAATTGCCAAAACATCTTAGGGAGATATTTTCGCGAGTGAGATTCAAACAACTTGACACAATGGTCAGATATGGGAGATTCCATTCTATACCCTACAATTAGCATCTCTGTATTTGCGGAGTGGCAGAGGTAGAAGACCTGGCTCACATCCTATTTGATTGTTGCTTGTATAAGGGGGTGAGAGACAGGTACCTTGGTCTATATACCAAACGAATGACCCATTGGGATCTCCGTATCAAAACAACTTACCTTATGTGTGGCCAGAACCTGAAAATAACGTTTAACCCAGCACTTAAACAAAATGGTTTGGTTGAGATCTGCATACATGGGACTGATTGGGGTAGATTGTAAGGGTGACACCAAAATATAATTTTATGTCATTTTATTCTATTTTACATATTTATGTATTAAATTATATTGTATTTTATCATATAACTACTGTATTTTACCCTACTCTTATTTTAAATTGTTTGTATAGGATTAAGAAAAGAAAAAATAAAAATAAAAATAACAGACTGCAAACACCAACTGAAAGTCAAGAGACACTATGTCATCATTTATTTTACAAAAAGAAATCCAAAACAGAGAAACCATGTGTGAAAAAGTAAGAATACCCCATGATGCAATATTTTGTAGAACCATATTTAGCAGCAATAACCTGAAGTAATTCTTCTCTGCATGACTTTATCAGATTTTATAGAAGCAATCACACTTGATCAAGGGTGCTTGATTAGAAGCACCTGATTGATAGCCTCTCTTCCTATCTATGGAAACAATAAGAGTCTACTTAATTTTTCACACATGGATTATTTTCCATTTTGGCTTTCATTTTGTAAAATAAATGATAACGTGGTGTGATATGCATGTATTGTTGTTCATCTGTGGTTGTATTCACCTATTGTTAAGAACTGCTAAGGATTGGATGATTTTTGCTGTCTTGATATGTACAATTATAGAACTCAAATTTTCCTGTTCACATGACTGAACTGTGAAGAGGTAAATCTCTAAAGAAAACTCTGGTGCTGGGAAAAGTGGAAAAAAAAAGAAGAGGATGGTCAGTAACAGGATGAGCAGACTCAGTTACAATGATGATTACAAAAATGATGATTACAAAAAGACCTTGACTATCTGTCAGAATGGTCAAACAATTGGCAACTTGTTTGGCAAATCTCAACCAACAAATGTTCTGTCTTACACATTAGCAAAAAAAATAAATAAATCAGAACACAAAATTCAAGCTGGGTGGATACAACCTCACAGACGACCCTCACTCAAGGACTTTGGAGTACTCATCTCAAATGATCTAAATGCCAGAGCTCACTGTAACATCATTTCCAAAAAGGCATTAAAAGTTGTTAATCTAATCTTGCGTAGCTTCTTCTCCGGTAATATGGAACTGCAAACTAGGACATACAAAACTTTTGCTAGACCAATTCTTGAATACAGCTCAACTGTCTGGAACCCACACTGCATATCGGACATTATTACAATTGAATGAGTCCAGAGATATTTCATGAGAAGAGTCCTCCACTCCTCTGCTCGCAACAGAATACCTTATGCCACCAGATTTGAAATTTTGGGATTAGACAGTTTAGAACTTCACCGTCTTCAGTCCAACCTAAACTTAGTACATAAAATTATCTGCTACAATGTCTTACCTGTCAATGACTATTTCAGCTTCAATCACAACAATACACAAGCACATAATAGATACAAACTTATGGTAAACTGAGTCAAACTTGATTGCAGAAAATACGATTTCAGTAACAGAGTTGTTAATGCCTGGAATACATTGCCTGATTCTGTAGTTTCTTCCCCAAACCCCCAAAACTTTAACCTTAGACTGTCTACTGTCGACCTCACCCCATTCCTAAGAAGTCTTTAAGGGATGTCCATAAGTGCACCAGTGTGCCTACCGTCCCTGTCTTAATGGTCCCTTTTATTTGTATCCATTTCATGTATTCATAATTATGTTTATACATATATCTGTTATCTAATACATGCCTGATAAAATAAATAAATAAAAATAAAATAAATAAATAAATGCTGAGTGCATCATTAGAAGACCTGAAAGATCAAGTGAGGGTCTTTCACCTGGGACAGATTTTCAGGGGGGAAATCTATGGTTAAGATTTTATTTATGGTTGGGCTTTGGTACTGTAATAACCTTTATCTCTGTGGTCTACTTCAGAGCTTCCTCGTGTTTCTTTACCCACAGGTGATTGCCCAAATCCAGTTCTACCTCCCCATTCTTCACTTAGAACAGGAGAAGTCCTACCACATACCTCTCCAACTGGAACTGTTCTGCGTTTACAGTGCATCACAGGTCATGAAATTATACCTGGAACAATTCCTAGGATGACATGTCTTGACACTAATAAGTGGTCAGAACTTCCTACACTTTGTCAAGGTAAGTATCTTTTGTCAACAACAGTGGCTGCTATGCAGTGTTGAGTGAAATACGTTCAGCTCTTCAAAATTGTCAGATTTAAAGTTGTACATTTAATTTCCAGCCTATAACTTATGGTATTTGGAATAAAACAGTAACTGAAAATTCTTCTGATTATTGGATCATGAGAATTTAACAAAGGATATTTTTACCAAACAAAAAGTATAATGCAAAGTTTTAATAATTCAAATAAAAAATATGATTTCTTTTTTAGAAATTAAAAATTGCTTAGCAAAATGAACGTACAGTACAGAAGAAAACATAAAAGTTATTTTAGTAAGTTTGTAATGGAGGATGAAGTTAAAATGGCAATCAAGAAGTTAAAGCCAGAAAAAGTTCCAAGAACATCTAGAGTTGAAGAATTTTTTTCAAGAAGCCAGCTCCAGCCATTTTTTGCATAAGGAGGTCTTGGCAGTGTGAAAAGCTCTAAGTGGTGCGTGAAAGAAAGATCCCATCAGTATTGGGTTACAGCATGTCACAGACAGCCCTGCCAGGCTTTAGAACCTTTCCATGGTGCCTCCCCCTGCATGTGGCTGGGATGATGAGCCCAGCGGAGAGAATGCAGGCAAGAGCATCAGACAACTTGCTGCAGCCAACTCACCATGGGAGAACTTGCTGCAGAACAGTTCAATTCAATTTATTTAAAATAATTAAAAATTATTTTAATGTTTGCTGTCACATTTTATTTTGTCCCTCCTTTTGCATTCTTTCTTTAATGATTCTATTCCACCATTTCTTTGATATTACTGTAACTCTTGTCCTGTGGCGAGTTGTCCTGTCATGAGTTGGCCATGGTGAGTTGTCCCAGACTCCAGACAAGCAAGCAGGCAAAGATGACAAAGGTCTGCCATTTCCACATGTTGGCAAACAAGAAGATTTAACTGAACTTTAACCAAAAAATATAACAATATTACAATAATGGAATCATAGAGCTGGAAGCAATCTTGGGGATCTTCTAGTCCAAGAGCCAAGCTAGAAATCCTTGTATCATCCTGAATAAATGGTTATCCAATCTTTGGACAATAATGCAGAAAATTATTTTTTATTCCCCCATTACCTTATGTGTGACAAAGAGATAATTGTTTACTACTGTGTTTCCCTGAAAATAGGACCGGGTCTTATTTTCTTTTGACTCCCCAAAAAATGGCTGGGGGGGTGTGTCTTATTTCCCCCCCCCCCTTATGTACAAGTATGAGATGGTTCGCTTGGCCTCCTCCTGCTTTTGTGGCTGCAATTGGTGGCAAAAGTGGCCGTGCTTGCACTGGAAGACCTCCGTGGGTAACATTGAGTTTGCACATCTTGCTCCAGCAAGAGGGGTGCAGGCCAGGGACTCAGTGGTCAGGGAAGATGGGGTTTTGGGGTGCAAAGGATGAAGGGGCAATTTCCCCCTCCCTGCTCCGTCCCACTACAGGGCCGCCACGGAACTTGCACAGGGCAGGGCAGGGCTGGAGGTGGCAAGCGTGCACAAGAAACATCTCCAGGTGCCTGGAGAGACAGAACGAGAGGTAGCTCCTGGCCCTTGCAGGTGTTGTGACCTAGGCTTACTGAGTCATTACAATAAACAATTAGTGCCAAAAAAACCTATTTTATTGTAACAGCTGAGAATTATATTCATTCCCAGCTGTGTCCCAATTAGTTGCAAAAAAGTTCTTCAGAAGTCCTTCAGGATAATCACCAACCTTTATCTTCTTTGACCCCCTGCCAAAGGCCTTACTTGGCAAAGCCCCACGGAGTTGAGAAACAAACAAGAGATGCCGACTGGAAACAAAGTTAGCAACGTTGCTTTCCTGCAAAAGGCCCAAGTGCTTTTGTTTCTCTTTTAAGCCTTATGGGAGGGGCCAATCATCTCCTGGCCTTACTCCCGAGTTGTCCCTTTTGCTTTAGCTGCTCTTGCCTACTGGCAGCTCTGCGCATGCGTGCACTAGGAACCTGTTCCTCTGCCTCTCTGCTGTCCGACTCTGGGGGCTCCAGAGTCTGCGCAACACTCCCAGATGGCCCTGGCCCCATCTCTGCCTCCGATGCAGAGCCCTTGTCTGAGCCTTCCCCAGACTCCAGGACTGGCCCATGTTCCACCCCAGTCTTGTTATTGTCCGATTCTGCTGCCACCTCCACAGGCTGCTGGCGGACCACAACAGCTGGCTCAGCTGATCTGCAGGCCCCGATTAAGGGGCTGAGCAGCCATGAGGTGACCGGGGAAGGGAAGGGCTGCCTCCTGTGCTGGCCATGCTCACGCCCTTCACTAGGGCTTATTGGGGTAAGCCTTATATTAGGCCCACCCCCCAAAAAAATAAGCTAGGCTTTACTTTCAGGGTAGGTCATATTTTTGGAGAAAGATGGTATCCTGTTTCAAGTTAATACATTAAGGGGGAGGAGTGGATAGAGATCCTTAAAATGTACAAATTGCACAATATGGGTATTCAATAAATTTAATTCAATAAATTGAAATAAGTTTAATATTATATTTATTGATAAAAAAGTCCTAAGAGATAGACATAAAAATTAAGCTTCATTTATACAAGTACTTCAGAATCTATGAAATACCTGGGGATTATTATTCTTGGGAAAATATCCTGTCTAGTAGATAGGAGTTTTGCAATTTAAATTTCCCAGATGAGTGAGGATATTAACTTGTGGTTGAAGATATCTCTGTTTCTGAGAGCATTAATATTGCACCAAGGTAGTTGGTTCCATTTAAATATTTTAAACAGATTGATAAATTAACAGTGAAATATTCATGGAAGGAACAAGTAACCAGGATTTCTTAAAGTTAAGCTTTTATACAATTATGGTGATTTTAATTTTTATGATTTTAAAGGACTAACTTATTAATAGCAATCTGGTATTAAAATTATTTTGACTACTACCCATTGTTGGCTCAACTTACTATTTAGCATTTTTTAATCCCTGATTCAAAATATATTAGTAATTAAGCCTTTGATATTGATCAGAAGTAATTGGGCCTTACGGGACAGAAATTAATTTTTTATTTTCATTATCATTAGAAATTAAAAATTTGGAATATTTTGCTTAAAATACTTGGTCACACTTTTATTTTAGAAACTATGGTCACTTCTGACATTCTGTAGAAGGAATATAACACATAGAATAAAAGCTTTTGATGTATTCATTGCTTGGCTCTGATGCCATACAGACTTTGGAAATTCCAGAGGCATTGAATAAACCCACAATTTATTAACATCAAGATTTTTTAAAGAATATAAAAATAAGTGTTCAAGAAATTTGAAATGGAGAATTAGACTCTCCTCTATTGTCCAATCATGTCTTCAGGTTTAAAAAATGTTAGCACTGAATATGTTTCATATGATTTAAAAACTTGAGGTAAGCAAAATAACTGAGAAGAGGTGGGTTATTGTGCTAATGAACAAATATTGTAAAAATATTGATACCATTCATTTTATGATGGAGATGTAATAATTTTGAAAAACAATTTTCCTGCTATACATGATCTAGATATACCAATAATAATAACTTATTGTTTAAATATTATTATTGTGATGAAGAGTGACTCAGAAGGAAGTTAAGAATGAAAGTGGTTTAATGATCTTGTAAAATATATCCTCCAAATTAGGATTGTTTTCATCTACAAAGATTAGTTTGCATGCTCTGCTTGGTCTTTTCCAAAAAAGATAATTGTGTAGACATGGAAGGATGTTTATATATTAGAAAACAATTGGCTTAATGACATTTTTCAACACCTGACCTTTGAATTGGCTTTGTGTCAAAACAGAGATAAGTTTGAAGAATTCCATTCTGTGTTGCGTAGGTTTAGTTTATGGTTTAACAATTGAAAAATAATGTTTGGAATCAATAGTTCCAGTGTTTTATTGTCTGTTTTAAAGTTTTTAGTTTGTTTAGTTTGTTGTCTTTTTAAGCGTGTAACCCCATATTATTCATATGTACCGTATTTTTTGGTGTATTTTTAAACGCACATTAGCTTTAGAGGAGAAAAACAAGAAAAAAAAATCTGCCTCCCAGCAATGTGCCTCCTTGCAGCAAACAGCTTGGTCAATTTCAGCACAGCCTGATTTAGCACAAGCAGCTCCCGGAATACCGACAATCAGCTGTTCCAGGCTGTGGGGATTGCCACTGCCCATCGGAGCCATCAGCGCCCATTTCCGCTGCCACCTATCGCTGCTGCCACCTATCTCCGCCTCTGCACACTCCATTTTCTGCCTCCGTGCATCCCATTTATGCAGGCTCCATTTTCAGCCTCCGTGCATCCCATCTGATTGCCGCCTGGAACGGGCTGAAAATGGGATGCACAGAGGCTGAAACATGCAGAGGCAGAGATAGGTGGCAGCAGCGATGGCTCCGAAAGGCAGTGGCGATCCCTGCAGCCTGGAACAGCTGATCATTGGTATTCCGGGAACTGCTTGTGCTAAATCAGGCTGTGCTGAAGCTGACCAGGTTGTTTGCTGCAAAGAGGTAAATTGCTGGGAGGCAGAGGCCAAAGGGTGGGGGCCTTTGGCAACATTTGCTGTATAAGACACAGAGACAATTTCACCCACTTATTTGGGGGGGAGTGCGTCTTATACGCTGAAATATATGGTAATTATAATTATGTCAGTAATTATTTTTATTGTTACTATATAATTATAATTTCAAGAGATTTTAATATACACGGATAATGTTTGAAAGACTTTGACTCAGTAGCATCCAAGTTTTTTTCCAATTCATGCAGCTGCTTCATAAACTACTTTTAATTATTTTCATACGTAAGTCCATGAACAGTCATTGAAGTGAACAGATACGTAGAGAAGCTGAGGATAGTTTACCAAGCAGCTCTGCATTGCAAAACAACTCTTGAGAGATACAACTATAATATAATATGGAGAAGTATAAAGCTAGAATAATACAATTTTCTACAAGTGTTTATTTTGTTGTAAGTCTCACAAGGACACATGATAACATCAGTTCCAATCTTTTAGGAAAGCGATGTCCCATTCCACATATAGAAAATGGCCAAATAGTAAGTTCAGATGACCTCCGGCTTGGTGAAGAAATAACCCTTGGTTGTCATTATGGGTAAGTTAGAGATTATTTGTTGAAGCAAATTGTAAAAATATCTTTGGAGACAATGGACAAAAAATAGTGGTAATAAAATCTGAATTATGAACTATATAATTATCGACAGTATATTCCTATAAATAATTATAACATATAGTTACTTTGAAAGGTATACATCTTTCAAAGTAACTTAAAACAGATTTGCAGAAATCTGCAGAAATGATTTAAAGGCATCATTTATATGTAACTCAGTAAAATTCTGCCATTACGTCAGTAGGTGTTTGTTAATCATCCTGGGTTTTGAGGTGACAGAATCAACTGGAAGAAACTCTGGTGCTGTCTTTATCTGCCTATTTTGTCAGCATTGCAAATTGCTATCATGCCTTACAAATGGATATTAAATTAGGTCCAACTTGTAGGAAGTTGAACTTAATTGGCCCTGTTTATCTTAACCTACATTTCTTGCTAGCTTGATGTAATAAATTATTTTCAAACCAAGAAAGGACCAGCTACAGACCACTGGCTCTATAAGGTGAAAGGAAAAGGGTCAAGATTTGAAGTTTGGGACTGAAATAGATCACATTTCTACTGTGCTAGTATCCTCAGAAGTTATATATGTGACTTCCTAAAGTCTTTTTAACATAACTTTGTACAACAAAGTAACTTTGCTGTATCTGTTTGGGAATGTGGAATGGAGAGAGGAGAGCAAGATTTAGACCAGCCAGAGTGATGTAGGTATAAAGCTTTGCTACAAGTTTGAAGATGAACACTTCTTATATACAGCATCTATCAAGTTCTCAGAATATGCTTCTAGAAATTCTTACTAGACAAATAAATACCAAAGTATTATAATGGTTGGAGTCCTACATTTTAGTACATCATAATATAATTTGTTTGGTTTGAGTCAGCATGTTCTGTGAACCCAATCTGTTGTGGCTTATTTTAGAAATTGCAACTAAAAAAATCAATAAGACTTTTCTTCCCTTTAGGTTCAGAATAATAGGTGGCGCTACTCGTCAATGTGTTTTGAAATCAGGCAGAGTTGACTGGAATAGAGAACTTCCAGTTTGCGAACGTAAGATGATATTTTATTTTAAGCTTATTAAGCTTCTTCTAGTGTTTTTACGTTTAGCTTAATAGCAAAAGTTCAGTCTGCTTAGCTTTTAGTTGAATATCCCAAAGGTGCTTTTTCAAAAGGCAACTGGACTTTCTTTGATTGTGCTTGAAGATGTCTCACTTCTCATCCAAGAAGCTGCTTCAGTTCTGAAACTTCGCCTCACCCAAGCTTTTTGAATGAGAAATGAGACATCTTCAAGCACAAACAAAGACAGTCCAGTTGTCTTTTGAAAAACCATCTTTCAGACAACCGTAACCTGGATATACTACATAGCCACTGTAGATGAGTTCAAGTTCAAAGGACCAGATGGATTGTCTCAAACATGCTATTTCAAAAGGTAACTGAATCTTTTTTCCCCTGAGCAAGAAGAACAAAACGTTTTGCTTCTCATCCAAGAAGCTTCATCAGTTTCATCAATTCTTGGATGAGAAGTGAAACATTTTGTTCTTCTTCCTCAGGGGAAAAATCAGTCCAGATTCCTTTTGAAAAATCATCTTTGAAAAAACAATGGTCTGGATGACTGACCACAGACATTTTACCAACTAGATTAAATTCAGGCTTCTGAAGGAGCTGGCAGGCATAATCTTGGAACCACTGAATATAGTCTTTCCTAGCTCCTGAGCATAGGGGAATGACTAGAAGACTGGAGAAGAGCTAATGTGGTTCCAATCTACACAAAGAGGAAAAAAATGGATGCAGGAAGCCACCATATGCTGCCTTTTCCTAATTTTTAATATCTTTGGTTTAAGTATAGGAGAAAATATTGAAAAAAGTTATTGCAATGGAATCAGGAACTTTTGAAAATAACCAGTTTTAACCTTGGCATGATTCATGTCCACTAAAGAAACTATTGTTCCTGCTATTAGCATTGCATTCTGCCACAATATAAGCAACTGTAAGCATTTTAATGCTTTCCCAATATAATTTATGAATGAATCCTTTTTGAAATCACAACCTTGCATCGAATCCTGCCTCTTTAAATTAATTTTTAGATCAAGGCACATTAGCACAATGTAAACAGGCAAACTTTCAGTCTAGGATTCTTCTATTGTGAGCATCAGCTGCCATGCAATGTAGTCAGTCGTATCACTTTTCTCAATGAAGTATATACTTTTGCTGTATTCTGTCAAGAGATGGGTAACCTCCACGTTACTTCCATAGGAAGAATGTACTTTTTCTAGTTTAAACTTGCATATGGAAGAGATCCTAACGAGGAAGGCCACTTTGATAATAACGTTATGAAGAAATCCTAACCAGAATCTGGACAGGAAATATTTATTAGATAGGAATGTTGTCCCTGGAACTAGAAAAATGAGTATGGTATTCTGGTTGATAGTAGAAAGAATTCCAAAGATGTGCATTTATTTGATGAATTCAAGAAATTCAAGCAGCTAAATATTTATACCATGAGAAAATCCGAATGGTAACCTAGTTGGATTTGTTGAATTTTTTTTCTCCAGGTATTCCTTGTGCTCGTCCTCCTATAATTGCCAATGGAAGATATGATCCCAGTCCTTCAGATACATATGATGCTGGCTGGACAGTCATCTATCGGTGTGATGCTGATTACTCCCTTATTGGAAATTCTACTATTACATGTATAGTAGCAGAAAATGGTGTAGATGGAAAGTGGAATTTGCCTTCACCTGTATGCACAAGTAATGGAATTTTATGTCGTTTTCCTTACTTTCAGACTGTAAAATTGTTTCTTTTCTTTTTTTTTCCATTTGTTAAGTATTTTTTTGCTGGAATCCGTTAATCAGCCTCTTGACAATGCACACATATTTAAACCTGGAGGGCTTATTTCAACTTCCCCAGTGCCAACTGTCTTTGGACCTCCCTGTGGCCTACCATCCTGGCTTCCCTGCACTCTGCCACCTCCAGCTGAGCTTCACCATCATTTTCCCCCACTGCTGACAACTTGAACCTTTATGAGGGAGCTGCTGGCCATGCAAAGTCTTCTTTCCAAAGGGAGGAAAGTAAATTGGGAGGGAAGGAGTGGGGATGAGCAAAGTGACTTGTGTGCCTTCCTACTCCTAGGAGTGGCCACCAACAGTGGCTGTACTTGTGTCAGAGAAGCAACAATTACTTACCTCCCTGCCGGTTGCTTGCAAGCTGTCTATGACTCACAATTTCTTGCCAGCTCCCCTACTGATTATGCTTGTTGGTAGCCCGCAAAGAGTCATGAGGAAATCCTTGCTTAATGACTCACAATTCTCAACTAACAACAATGGGGACTGACAGAATTGCCATCACTAAAAAAATACAGTCACATGATGTTGTACCTTACAACTATATTGCTTAGAGGTAGAAAATTCCGGTCCCAATTATTGTTGATAACTGAGGTTTGCTTGTAAATGTAAAATGAACTATGGACCACCACATTTACTCACTGAGGATGAACCAGAGTTCTAGCGTATTACTAGACAATTTGTGTCCCGTGGGATCATCATTTCAGAGGTATTTCTCTACCTAAACAGAAAAATAGGACGAAGTATTTGTACACCTTTATAACGGAGACAGAGATATATAATGCCATAACTTATTGGAAAGAACATGAGATAAAAGTACAGTCCCTCAACCTGTGCAATCGATGACACACTGACTCTCAGAGACAGAAGAACTGTTTGTATCCACGTCAACTTTTCACGCCCAAATTGAAAGTTTCTTTCATACTGAGGATTTTCTGCAGACCAATGATTAGATTAGTCAATTCATTCAATCACCAGAAAGAGACTATTTTCTGTGTTCATTTTATTGTAAGAATGGCAAAGGCCCATGATAACATCAGTTCCAATCTTTTAGGAAAGAGATGTCCCGTTCCACTTATAAAAAATGGCAAAATACTATTTGCAAATGACTTCGGACTTGGCGAGAAAGTAACTCTTGCTTGTGATTATGGGTAAGTTAGAGATCATTTCTTGAGGATCTTTCCATGTGTGGCTTCTTCATTCTTGGTAGTGAAATCATATGTGTAACATTATTATATCTACTTGGAGATGTGGAGCAGGAAACATAGTTTATAGTGGCAGTCATGGGGTGGGATATGAAGCTTTGACATTGGTTTGAAGGTGAACATTTCTGGTATGTAGCACCTTATCAGGTTTTTAGAATATGTTTCTAGGGATTCTTAAAAGAAGACACGGACCAGTTCTATACTGACTGGGTTCCTACATTTCTGTATATCATAATACAATTTGTTTGGTTTGGACTCAGCCTGTTGAGTGAATGAGAGCCCTGGTGGATAAAGTGCAGTATTGCGGACAAACTCTGCTCAAAGCCTGGAGTTCAATCCTGGCTTTTTAATTTAATTCAATTAAAAGAATTTGGCACATTAGCTGGCTTTAAGTTTATTAAACAGAAGCCAAAGATGTTAATAAAAATAAGAAGATGCAAAATCAAATAGAATTTATGAATAAAACAAGTTCCAAGGTTGAGAAAAAGGTAGAATATTTGGGTGTAAATTTGACACTTATGAATTGTATGTTGTTTCAAAATCATTATGTTAAGACATGGAATTGAATTATAAAATATTTGCTAAGATGGCAAAAATTATAACCGTCATTGCTGGGAAGAAATTGCAACTGAACAATCCATGGTTTAATCTTAAATATTCTATATAGTTTTAATAATAAGGTCTTTTTCCCCTTTTAGGTTCAGAATAATAGGTGGGTCTACCCTTCAGTGTGTTTTGAAATCAGGCAAAGTTGACTGGAATAGAGAGCTTCCAGTTTGTGAACGTAAGATGATACTTTATTTTAAGCTTATTAGGTTTCTTTTGGTGCTTTTACATTTAACTTTCTAATAGCAAAAATTCAGTCTGCCTAGCATTTACTGTACTCTTTCCACCAGTATCTGACTGGTATACATATCCAATGTTCCTAAACGAAGTGAAAATTATAAAATAAAAATAAAAGCAGTAACATAAAGTGAAGAAATACTGCAAAGAATGTGAATCACGTTAAGTACGCAAACACTTCACTACAAGAGAAAACAACACTGCAATATTCCAATTCCCAAGACCTTCAGGAAGAGGTTCATGGTTGGAGCTATTCTCATCTCTCAGGTGGGGGAGAATGCTGTTCCACCCAAGGGTGGCTTCAGATGTCATTGGTCAGGCAGTTATTGGAGTAGACATTCCTGAAGATACCTCGGTCATCAGCTGTTTAATGATGACAACCAGCAGTTTGAATAAACATCACCAGTGCAGTTCTCAAGGAAGTGCTGTTATATAGACAAAAGGAGACACACCCATAACTATCTGCATTTTTGCATCTTTTGACTAAATTATACATTCTCAGTGATTTTCAAAGACAGTGTGTGCTCCAATAGTTCAACCAAGAGATTTTTAAGTCATTTATGAGTATCTGTGAGAAGTGCCAAGAGAGGTTAAAATTGACAAACAATATAACACTGTGGTAAGGAATAGAATAGAATAGAATAGAATAGAATTAGAATAGAATTAGAATAGAATAGAATAGAATAGAATAGAATAGAATAGAATAGAATACAGAACAGAACAGAACAGAACAGAACAGAACAGAACAGAACAGAATTATGTGTGCAATATGCACTGACGTTTTGAAGATCTCTGGACCTGATATTGTGGAAGGAGGGCAAGTGTCTCTGGGTTGCATAGCTATCTCCTGAAAGCAGCCATCATTTTCAGCACTTGCTTCAAAATGGCTCCTTTGTTGAAGAATGTAATTGTTGAGATCATTTTTCTCAAATGAAGTAAGAACTTTTGTTGTATTCTGTCAAGAGATGGGGTAATTACTTCCAGAGTAAGAATGTAATTTTTCTAGTTTAGACTTCCATATGGAAGAGATCCTAATGAGGAAGACCACTTTGAGAAAAAGAACTTTATCAAGAAATCTCATGCAGGAGCTGGACAGCAGATATTTATTTGTTAGGAATATTGTCCCAGGCAGTAGAAAAGTGACTGGTGTTCTGGTTGATTGTAGAAAGTATTCCAAAGATGTGCATTTACCTGATGATTGAAGTAATTAATTCAAGCAGCTAAACATCTATACCACGAGGAAATTTTCGTCCAGATGCTTTGCAATTCTAGCCTAGTTAAATCATTGTTGATTTTTTTTCTCCAGGTATTCCTTGTGCTCGTCCTCCTATAATTGCCAATGGAAGATATGATCCTAGTCCTTCAGACACATATGATGTTGGCTGGACAGTAATCTATCGGTGTGATGCTGATTACTCCCTTATTGGACAATCTGCTATTACATGTATAGTTGCAGAAAATGGTGTAGATGGAAAGTGGAATTTGCCTTCACCTGAATGCAAAAGTAATGGAATTTTATGTTGTTTTCCTTACTTTCAGACTGTAAAATTGTTTCTTCTCTTTTTTTCCCATTTGTTAAGTATTTTTTTGCTGGAATCTGGTAATCTTGTCTTCTAAGTATTGGGATGCTGTGGATTACAAAGTGGGAATTATTCAGTGGTGAAATTCAAAAAAATTTTCCCCCAGTTCTGTGGCCGTGACCAAGTGGGTGTGGCTCGGTGATCATGTGGTCGGGTGAGCGTGGCTTTGTGGTCATGTAAGCAGGTGGGCATGGCTTAGTGGTCATGTGACTGGGTGGGATTGGCTTGGTGGTCATGTGACTGGGTGGGTGGGCGTGGCCAAGTTAACGTCACTTCTTTGCCCTTATGACCTACAAAAAGAAGATATACCAATTATTTCGTGCATTTAATACTTAAATAAGAATAAATGAAGTACATAAAACAATAAAAGAGGTACACAAATACTTACATAAACATGTTAGTAGCCTTTAACTTTAAGATGTTTCCACATCGTTTTTTCATTGGCACTCTCTTCACTTCCACTTTTCTTTATTTTGATTCTCAGATCATTGGCTGTGTGATGGTGTACTCTTAACCACTTTTTCACTGCAGGAATAGGGTCCCGTTTTGGAAGAGGTAGGCCAATAACACTGATAGTCATGAGGTTGGTTAAATTAGAAATGGTTAGGTGACTTTTGCTCTCTGAACATATGATGTTCATTTTTGAAAAAACCCTTTCTGCTTCTGCAGAACTTAAAGCAATTGTTCTGACAATATCTTCATCTTTTTTAATACTGTCAGGAATTGCATAGTTCTTATAATCTTTTAACACATTCTCCACAAAATCTCTGTAGTTGTAGATGTTAATGTTGTAATTGAAAATGTCATCAAATGTGCACAGTTGTTCCTCAGCTGCTATCCATGGAACTACTACTTCTGCAATATCCCAGTACTCTGGCACCAAAAAAAAAATAGAAATTGTAGTTTATTCATGGTGTCTTGCAATTGGCTACCTGTTTTTAAATGTTCACAGTCCATTAATCTTTTCTGCAAATTTGTTATGATGCTTTCTAAAAGTCTTTCCCAATGAAGTTCAACAAATTGATGATTTTGTACAAATTTTATATTTTTGAAGGTTTCTGAAGTAATTAGTCTGTCAACTTTTCTTTCGTATGGACCCTTTCCCTTTGTAAGCAGTTCAAATGCTTTCATTGATCTTCTCACCAGTTTTTCAGTCTTTATAATGTCCATATTAGTTGCTTGCAGTGCAGTTGAAAGAAGTGAAATTTCATCCAGAATATCGATCATCAGTGCCAAATCATTTTAAATATATATATTTTCCAGACGGGCAGCCATACCTGAGTATTTTGCATTCACATGAAAATACTGATCTGGCATTGGATAAGCACGGCACACAGCTATGGTTGCCCTTAAACTACAGGTAGCCCATCTTGGTCCAATCTTTATGATGTCAATTTCAAGTTCTTCGGATAGTTTGTCAAGTTCAATTAGGTTCTTATTCAATTGGTGAAAAATAGAGCATATCTTATCAATAAATATTTTAAAATGATTTACTTGCTTTACTTCCTTTAAGTTGGAGGCGATGGTTCAAACAGTGCCATATGATGATGTTTGGAAACTCTTTTGCCATTCTAGTGCTCACTCCAGATTTTCTCCCAAGCATAATGCTGGCACCATCAGAGCAAAACACTATTAGTTCTGGGTAAACCCAACCTTATGTAAATGTTCCAGAACTGAAGAACATATTGTCTTTGCATCTTGTTTCTTCAATTCAACAAGCGTGACAAAAATTGTTGGCGGGTTCTCTGAATCCTCAACTTTTACAAAAATTATCACAACTGGTTTGCAGGATACCATTGAGACTTCACCAATGATCAAGCATATTTTCAGATTCTGTTCGATAATGCTGGCAAACATTTCGGTTTTAATTTTGTTTGCAATACACTCAAATTATTTTCACAACTGTTGGCCTTGAATGCAATCCTATTCCCAGATCTACTCCATTTTCAATTTTCAATTTTATCAATTCTTCTATGCTTGAAATTGGTCTACATTCTTTTGCCAGCCTGTAAACAGTTTTGAACATTTTACAAGTGGTGCCTAAATGTTTTTCAGACATCTTGTCAATTGCTTTTGTTATGGCATCCTGCTCCCCTTGTTTTACGTTGTCTCTACAAATGGTGTGAGCTTTTGATGTAAAATGTTCTCTCATTTTCTTCCTTAGAGATGCCTGCCACATGTCTTTATTTTTCCCAGATGCCTCAATCTTCAAATGCTTCCATTCTTTGGACACATGAACACTGCTCTCTATTGCGAATTCATGTTTCGCACAGTACTTGCAACCTAGTTTCTTGTTTGAAACTTCCAGTCCTTCATACTTCTCTTGGAAGTTTCTCAGGTATTGCAAAGTCCAGCAGTCAGGAAGATTTATTTCAATTTCAGACTTCGGTGACTCAATACTTGACTTGCTGCTTTCTCCATGTTCAAGTGGTGGAAGTTGTGGTGCTTGTGGTGCTCAGGATGGTTTTGGATCTTCCAAGGTCAATTCTGATGGTTGTTCTGCCAGTTTTGGTTTCTTGGTGAAGAAACTGCCCAAACTGCTTTTTCATCCTTCCTGTTAAAGGCTACTACTGAAAAAGAAAAAGGACAAGTGTTAACGGAAGGGATCTCTATTTTCACCCAACAATATACAGTCTTTTCAGGATGTGACTAGGTTCAACAAGCAGGAACCTCACAGTCACAGAGAACTCAAAAACCAACTATCACACTTTACACAAAAATAACACAAAAGCTACACAACTGACTCATACACAATGCAAAAGCAGCTGGACTTCACACAAAATGGTCCCTGCAACAAGCAGGAACTATCACCCTTTATAAACAAAATGTCACATGCAGCTTTCTGAGAGCTGGGCCGTGTGGTGAAGGAAACTTATATAGGGCGGGGGTGGGTGGGCAGCCGGAAGTGTCAAGCGGCCGGAAGCAGCAAGTGAGCCAGAAGTAAAATCTGATGATTGCACAGCACAGCTGATGGCGGAACCTTTTTTTTACTTTTTGTTAACATTTTTTACTACCTATTTACCCGAACCAGTAGTAAAAAAATGCTTAAAAAAGAAAAAAATAGTTCCGACGATCGCGCGGCACAGCTGATTGTCACACAGCTGATTGTCGGAACTATTTTTTTACTTTTTTAAAGCCTTTTTTACTACTGGTTCAGGTGAACCAGTAGCATTTTTACTACCAGATTGGGTGAACCTGCCCAAACTGGTAGCATTTCACCCCTGGAAATTATCCATCTGAAACTAATTCTCACAGGGGAGTATTGAAAGAAATGCAAACATACTTCGAATAATTTATTCTATTACTTGTATCTGATTTGGTAACTACTCCCTTGAGCTCGATTAGACTTATTATATTATTTATTAGGGGGATAATAAAAATAATTTAATTTTGTTTCCCTCTAATACAACAAGGTAAAATGTTGGGCAATTTCTTATAATCTAACGAGATGATTCCCCATGCCAAGAGTACCATGTGCCTTAATCATAGAAAACAAATCTTACTTCAAACACAAGTCATTTAAAAATAATCAGGTTTCATATTAATTACTTTAAAATCACTTGTTGACAACTGACCTCAATGATTTTTGGTTGCTTGTGTGTCTTGTAAAAAAATTTTTAATGACTATATCTACAGGTCTACGTTTGTGAACTGAGTTATATTTAGTGTTGGGTAGAAATCTAGAAATAGTGTTATTAAAGAATGTAGCATAATTGATTAATATTTTTTCACACATAGCTTTCAGAATATTTTTCAAGAGTGAGGCAGAAAAAATAGGGTATTTATTTCAGTTTTTCATAATCATGATTTTGTAAATTAGGTACAGTACATTCTCTTACAGATTTTATAGTGCTTCTTTGATATCCCAAATATTTATTTTATAAGTTCTCAACTGATGAAGGCCAACATCTTTCATAATTGCTGTACTTTTATTTATTCACTAGAAATATATTCTATTCCTGGACCTCACATATAATACACTCTCCTATTTTTCCTTTAACAGTAACAAACAGATTGTTGTGAAAGTGAGTTTCTGGCTCATAGTCATAGAGTGAGCTTCTGTAACTTAGGGTGAACTCTTGATCCTAACCTAAAACACTATACCACACTGGTTGTCAGTATTACATTTTTATAATAAAGGTGTCCCTGTGGATTTTACTCCACTAGTTGTGACCAACTTTAAGGAGCAGTTCTCATCTCTGTTTCTTAAGCCAAAGAGCCAGAATTCTTTGGAGACATTTCCACAGTCATGTAGCCAGCATGAAATCACACCACAGCACAAGGTATATGGCGAAACATGGAAAGCTGCTACCTTCTCATATGCTTATGTGCAGTCTTAGTCCGTTAAAGGTCTGCAGTTCGAAACCCGAGTACTGCGAGGTATAGTGACTTCTTGTCACTAATCTCAGCTTCTGCCAACCGAGCAGTCTGAGAGCATGGAAATGCAAGTAGATGAACAGGTATTGGTACCACACTTTTATAATAAAAGCTATATATTTGGCTCAGTTATTTGAAGCTGCAGGTAATTAGCTTGGTGACAATTTAATCTTGTTCCATGCAAATCCTGCAAGATGCAAGATGCAGCCATAGTAGGTAGCTACTCTTTTTGGCCAAAGCTAAGCAAATAATGGTTTCCAAGCTTAAGATTCCTAATTGTGGCAGCAAGCCATAATTACATCACATGGTGATGTCACAACATACATACAGGACACCATTATGTACTTATTTCCCACTCTGCGACAAAAATATATAACTCACAGCATTTGTGTAATAGTAACATCATGCATAGTTTTTCATTTGCCCCTCATTAAGGCAGTTGGGTATTTGATGCAAACTAAATGCTGATTTCTTTTCCAGATGTCAAGTGCCGTAGACCAATCATCCCAAATGGAAAAGTGGCAAGTGTGTTTCAAGCTACATATACGTATCAGAATAAATTACTTATTGAATGCGATCCTGGCTACACTTTCGTAGAGTCTTCTTTAATTGAATGTGATGCTGATAGTCAGTGGAAACCGTCTGGTCCATGGTGTGATAAGAGTAAGTAATTTTTCTTAAATCTTTGTTGAACATCAGAGTTGAACATTTGAAAGTTGCACATCCTGCGTCTGGACAAGCTATATAAACATTTTTCCCTCTCTTTTTGGCTGGTGTAGTCATGATCCCAGTCACAGACCCGACATCTGCTCTTCCCCCTAACACTCCAGAAGAAGATAAGAGTGAAGGTGAGTCATCACATGATTGGACTGCTAATTTGCATTAGTGTAGAATGGCACTAGATTGGCTAGAAAATTTACAGTCATGTTACAAAGAAAGTACACCTGCTTTGAGTTCTATGGCTTTACATATCAGGACATAGTAAAAATCATCTGATCCTTAGCAGATCTTAAAATCAACCTCAGATGAACAACAACACATGATATATTACACCATGTCATCATTTGTTCCAAAGGTCCTTTTCAAAAGGCAACTGGACTATCTTGGTTTTTTTCTTGAAAACATTCTGCTTCTCATCCAAGAAGCTTCTTCAGTTCCAAAACCAAAAAAGAAAATGAAGAAAAACAAGAAAGTCCTTTGGAAAAGCACCTTTGGAACAACCATGATCTGGATGATTGAGAATCTCCATAGACATGTCATCAATTATTTTACAGGAACAAAGCCAAAACGGAGAAGCCATGTGTGATGGCATATGATTCAATAACTTGGAGATCCACTTTTAGCAGTAATAACATGCAGTAATTGTTTTCTATGTGACTTTATCAGTCTCTCACATCATTGTGAAGGAATTTTGGCCCACTCTTCTTTACAATATTGCTTCAGTTCATTGAGTTTTGTGGACTTTTGTTTATGCACAATTCTTTTGAGGCCCTGCCCTAGCATTTCAAATAGGTTGAGGTTTGGACTGACTGGCTCATTGCAAAACTTGATTCTTTTCTTTTTCGACCATTCTGTTATAAATTTGCTGATGTGCTTGGGATCAGCAACAATTGCTTTTCTAAGATCATTGCTAATGCCTTTACTCTTTGGCATTGTGTTAACACACATCTCAATCCTAGAGACACAGCAAACTTGTGATTAATCTTCCTCACTGTAGAATGATGAACTTTAAAGTGTTTGGAAATGGCCTTATAACCCTTCCTAGATTGATGGGCAGCAACAATTACTTCTCTAAGATCATTGCTGATGTTTTTACTCTTTGGCATTCTATTAAAAATACCTCAATGCTGGAGACTAGCAAACTCCTAAAGCTTCAGCTTTTATAGAGGTAGTCACACTTGCTGATGATCAATTGATCAAGGGCGCATGATTAGTAGCACCTGGTTACTACTTAGCCTCTTCTCTACATATCGAAGCAGTAAGGGTATACTTTGTATATAAGATCCTGCTTCTTAAACCCAAATTTTAAGAATGTTTCTCAAGTACAAGAAGAGTGGAAATTGGAGAAAGGCTAATATAAATCTTTCATTTGGCAATGAAAGAAAAATAAATTTTATGTACATCCAAGATTCAGGCTCTCGCTAATTTGGGCATATGACATTCATGATCTTATGTGGAATAAAAGACATTTCATTTGTTTGTTTGTTTCTGATTTCAATCTATATGGCTCCCCCAATTCAAAATGTCCAGTGTTTATTTAGAGATGTGCCCTCTGTTGTTCTTTCAAGTGATCAAATATTATTTCCTTTTTTTAAAATAGACAAGTCCCTTGAAGATCGGTTGGATATAATTGAAAAAAAACTGGATCGAATTCTGCATATCCTGCAACTAACCGGACAGAGAAAAACAATTTGTTAATGATCATTGCCATGAAACCTTATTTCTTTGATATTCCCACAAAATATATGCTTTCTCATTCTCAAAATATAAGGTGAGATATGAAATCCAGGAGTGGTAATGAAGTTAGAGAAATGATCACATTTTTTAAAAAAATTGCTAATATGGAAAACATAATAAATTTAGTGCATATACCAGATCACTGACTCTAATATTGATGCCAGATTCACAAATGATCCATCGTGTTATCAATGTTACTAAAGAAAACTAGTGACAGCTATCAAACTCCTTTGACCAGGACTTGACAGTAAATCAGTAATCTTTATTGCTGCTTGACCTTGCTTGTCACCTGGCTGGTCTTGACAGGAGACTCAGAAGCAATGCCCAAGATCTTTAATGAAAGCTACAAGGAAACCATGCAGAATAACTGATTGCCCACTGCTAGTGAGAATGCACAAATTACCTTTAATGCCCACTATAGTCTAAACATCCTTTTTCTTTTTGCCCTTCCATGAATATATAATCTTTATTCAGCATTTGGTAACTTTGAGATCAGGTAGTTATTACATCTTTACAAAATTGTCATCTCTGTCTTAAGAATAATTTATTATATCTGTTAAAAACCCAAGGCTGCGAAAAGCCATGGATAGGGAGATAGGTAGCTTGAAATGTATCAAAATGTCCAACTATCTAATTGTCATGGCAGAGTTGAAATAAGGAAGGAAGAAGGAAATTATGATTGTTGAGGTGTGCAGTTCTCAGGAAATGGGAAAGAAGCTAACAAAGTGTTTCCCTGATGGTCAATATAGCATCAGCCTGTTTGTTGTGCAAAGTTAAAAGGTGGAAAATTGGGCCCACATGACCTGATGCTGTGTAAGATTTTGAAAGTGTCCCAAATTCTTTTAGTCTGTCTGTACTTCCAAACAGTAACATTCAGAATATTTAATTTATTAATTTAATTTATTTGTATCTCATCTTTATTACTATTTTAGAAATAACTCAAAACAGCAACCATATCCAACAGACTTTCCTCCTATTTTCTTCACAACTGAAACCCTATGAGGTGAATTGTGCCAAAAGAGAGTGACAGGTCCAAAGTCATCCAGCTTTAGTGGCTTATGATAGCCTTTGAGAAAACTGTGATGATACCGAGTTGAAAGCTTTTGTAATGACCAAAGGTTCCTTCTTAAAAATATCATAATGAGTTTCAGGAAATAGCAACTGTCCAGAAAACAAATACAGCCAGTGTCAGAAAAGTGAAAGCTCAAAAAAGGGAAGGTTAGCAAAGGATGCTAGGAATAATAATAACGATATGCTCCTTTAGATAACTTGTGGGCGAGAAGGAAAAGAAAAAGAATTCCTGCATGAACTGCTTAGTTACAAGGCAAAATCCTAATTGGAAACAAAAGGCAGTGGTTTGCCCTGTCACTGCTATCTACATACTGGATCCAAACTTTGGATTGTACTATGGGAGTGCTATAGATTCCAGACGTTTATTACAGTCTCAGTTATGCATCTCGAAATCAATGATTCAGTAGGTGTTCCTTTGATTTGTTGATACGTTTGTCTATTAAACTGAAAGTTTAACAATTTTATCAAAGGTTGATAAGATCCATGATTCTTGGTGTATTTGGTTAGGTCAGGTGTGTTGTGTATTGTGTCGGGTGTACACGCAGTACGCCTGACATAACCAAATACACCAAGATTGAAATATCCAGAATCATTGATCTTATCAATTTTTTCCTGACTGCATAGTTTCAATTTACTCTAAGAGAAGCTGTATAAGAACACCAACACAGATAAACAAGCTATGAGTAAATAGTAACCTAATCAAGAAACTACCAAGACCAAAGTCAGAGGACACCAAGATCCCTACATATGACTCTGCTTTTTTTAAAAGTTTTTTATTTTTTAAACAAACAAACATTTAATACATCAGTTTTCTCTTCCCTGTGACATCTCAGTGTTACCTTCCAAAGTTCTTTCTTTTTCTGTATAGTTGTCATTACTTCTATCTTGATCCTTATCCAGTCCACAATATCAATTCATCACTTACATAATATTCAACACATCCACATATTTTTACATATTTATATAATTAATCATTTATATCTCTTCTCCAACCAATAATAAAAATCATTTCATATTTTAAAATATTCTGAGTCTTCTCTATCTTTAATCACACGTGACTCTGTTTTATACATTATTTTACTCATTGTGATTCTCTTCTCCTAATACTAATAACAATGTAACACCCTTTCCAAAAGAAGTCAGATTAAGGTAGACGATAGTTTATTTATTTTTAGCAACACTGGAAGATGCCTAAAAGAATAGAGTAGGTTGCATAGCATTCTGAGCAAGGGACATTATTTCTGGGCAATGGATAATATTTCTAATTTCCTCTGCTTCTTCTTGTTGTTGTTTAAAAAAATACTTGCTCTAATTATGTGTCTGCCAGTAGTCATGTTAAATACAATAACAATAATTTAGGAAGGCAAATTACACCACAAGTCCATTTCTATCTAGAGTCTATCAGTTGTAGGCATTCCTGCCTGTTGTTCCGATACATTCCATATTCAAAAACAACCTTTAAGTTGATGTCCATACATTTGAAAGACACCAGATTTGAGAAAAAGCACCATATTTATTACTCATACTAAATGGATGAGTGCAATCTTGGATGACTGCCATCATCACCACCATGACCCTGAGCTACAAATATTCTCAGTAGAGTCACAGGTTGTAATTAAATACATGTCATTATTAAATAAATAATTTAACTAAAATGATTCCTTTATTCTAATGAAGTAGAGATGAAACCTTCATTCATGTCAAGTCAAAACATGAATTATTCTGCCAATATGCTGTCAGGTTTTTTACTCTTTCTCTAATGTTAAAGTATATCCATTTGAATCAAGTGTTCAGTGAGTAAATTATTGGGGGAATAGGGGCATATGCAGAGAGAGATGCAATCAGCTGCTGGAAAAAAGCATCTGGAGCAGCTTCTGCTGAGAATCTTCACATGCCTCAAGTAGATCTCCAAACATACTGTCAGAACTGGAAATCTTGCACATATGCTTCTGCAAGGTTAGTCAGCTGACCGTTCATTTATTTATTAAAGTTATATGCCATCTATCTTAGTCTAAAAACAACTTTGGTCAGCTAACTGCTTCCAGTTAGCTGCTTCTACTACATACAGAGATTTCATTCATCTCCTTACTCAGAAGACTGAGAGAAAGAAAGATTGATCATAATTCCTTCATCCCAGTATTATTTTGACTACTGAAACACAACTATGATTAACAAAATTTCTTTCAACAGGTTCCAGGAGCTGTTTAATAAACCTACACTAATTTAAATTTAGTATAAACTTACATTTTAAAGCTGATAGAACCTCAAAATCTCTTTGCCCAACCCTTGAGCTCATAAAAACTATGATTCAGGACAATGAATTACGTGCAGAAATTAATCTATTACATCTGCCAAGGAATTTGAAAAAAAATGATTCATTCAACAATTCCAATTTGATTTGCAGTAACTCCCTAAAAACTCAAAAATAAAAATATCTCACATTGCATTGTATTGAAAAAGTCAAGGACTCTCTTTTGCACTCTATACAATGCTGCATTCACAAAAGGAAATACCGGTAGTAATGTATGTACATATGTGGTGATTCACAAGAAGCAATGAAAAATATTGAAATGGCAAAGAGTTTTAATTTTAATCAAAAACATTCTCTATAGTTCTATCCTTATTAAAAACAGACATGCAGGACCAAAAAAACCCACATTCTGTTGCCCCAATGCAATTGAAAAATACCCGAAATCAGATCTGAGAATATACAAAAGCCTGTAATGAAATAAAATTATTTAAAATATTAAATCTATTCCCCAAGTAAATGAAGGAGGAAAGCCAATAGATAATGACTGGTTTGAACATAGCTCTTAAATTTGTGGTTTCTTTGTAAAGTATGTTTCTATAGCACTAAAAAGGGTGGTCCAATTGACTGGAAAGGTAATAATGTTTTTATTCCCTCAGATGCATTTTTATTGTACTTTAATATTTAAGTTTTAGAAATTCCCAATCCTGAATATCTTTTGATCTAGGGATCCTGTCTATAATACTTCTCTAAGATTGTTGAAATAAGGTATCCAGAAATTCTGTGTGCATATTTAGCTGTGACCCAGCTTCTTTTCGAGTTGTAACTTCAACCTATTCTTTACTTTATGTGATTTTAAAAAAAATTGAAGAACTTGAGATATTAATATCGTTCAGATAGTTAGAGAAACAACATAGTTAGGTAATTTCAACTGCTGTGAGTGAAGAATACAGTCTTTCTTCCAAAATCCTGAATATATGCATGTATTAAAATCATATTTGATCATAAATGTAAGTGAAGAAATTTCAGATGCCATTTCTTCCAGAAACCAAAAAGACAAAAGCAGAAGAATGGATTTTAAATCTGTGATATGATGTCCAGAAATCTGAGATGAAAAAGTCCCAGGAATTATCTTGATTAAAATTCAGAGGTGGGTTTCAGCAGATTCTGACCAGTTCTGGAGAACCGGTAGCAGATATTTTGAGTAGTTCGGAGAACCGGTAGTAAAAATTCTGACTAGCTCCACCCGCATCTATTCTCTGCCTCCCAAATCCCAGCTGATCGGGAGGAAATGGGGATTTTGCAGTGACCTTCCCCTGGATTGGGGAGGGAATGGAGATTTTACAGTATCCTTCCCCTGCCATGCCCACCAAGCCACGCCCACCAAGCTGTGCCACGCCCACAGAACCGGTAGTAAAAAAATTTGAAACCCACCACTGGTAAAGTTATATATTCAATTTGGGTATAACTCCAGAAAAAATGGCTCTTAAAGTTTTTTTTCATTTGCAGCCACAAATATAACCTGGAAAATGTTTCTCATAATGTGAACAGCTTTGCTCTGGTAAACAACAACATTGTGGAGCGGAAGACTACAACCCCAAGCAATTAGAATATAAAAAAAGAGTTGATAATGCTAAAGTCCTCTTTCAGAAAAGCAGGAAGTGTACTATGACCTGAACAGCTAGGCAGTTGGTTTAGATATTAGAGACATATGTCTCTAATATGCCTTTCCATAGAATTATAAATGTTTTAAAGGGTCATAGCCCACACAATACATGATCATTGTTCCAAGGATTGGATAGAGTATACAGTATAGCAAAGCCTTATTGAACAAATAATAATTGGATTTATACTCAGATTATTGATCTGACCACTATGCTGAAAGACGTGGGATTGTTTTATCACACAAGCATGCTTCACAACATATCCTGCCTCAAACATAAAGTACATCTGAAGTGGAACACTGATTTATTGCAAAGAATTCATGTAACCCAGAGAATTCACTCACCTATCAATTCCACCTATTGTGCTATTTTGGTTACCCTGCAACCTAGCTTGTGGGGTAGCAAGCAGCCCCAGAACTGTGTGGTTCTGCAACTGTTTGCCATACCACAGCTTAGAGATCTCTTGGCATGCTATGCTCTGGGGCTGAGCCCTGAGCTACAGTACAGAACAAAGCTGCAGTCACCTCACCCCTTCCCCAGGTCTTAGGAGTTGTTGACTAAGTTATTGGAAATATTCCTATATATTTTAGTTAAATGGTAATAACTCAGTTTCTTCAAAAGAGAAATATGTACACAAACAATTTTGGTCCAGTGAATGAAAAGTTTTCCTACACACCTGATTCCCCCTTCTGATTTGGCTAGATTTATCCTTGCAGAATGTGGTACTTGATTGTCTTGTTGATAATTACAGATTAGGATCCCATTTACTTAAATTTCTTTACTGGAGGAGATTAAAATAAGAGATCAAATCTTGGGAAGCAGAAAGATGGAGGCCTCCTCTGAAGCTTACTCCATAACCAGTGGTCTTTATCCAGGGGTGATTTTGCACACTCACTTATTACACCTTCATTGCAAATCTGGATTATATACCGTAAATAGAGTTTTTGCCTAACCATAATGCCAATAAAGGATGGCCTATACTGTACAGTACAGTTATAGACTGTACTGAGAACAATAAGTACATTGTGCTGAGCCATGATTTGTTTTAATTATAGTTTGTTTGACACCATTATAATTTGTTTGGATATAGCTACACTATAAAGCAGTGATGGCGAGCCTTTGAGGCACAGAGTGCCCAAATCGGAAGATGCACGCGGCCAGAGCACCAGAAACCTGACGACCAGCTGGCCGGCTCACATGCACACGTTGGAAGGCTGACAACCAACTGGCTGAGCTGGAGCGATGGTGCACGTGCCCACAGAGCGAGCTCTGCGTGCCACCTCTGGCACATGGGCCATAGGTTCGCCATCACGGCTATAAAGCATGATTTATAAACTGAGTTTATACATTATACTGCACCAAAATCCAAATTATTTCTGAATCTATCTGATACATAGTTTCAGAATGGGATAAAACACAAGGCACCATGCCATGAAATGCAAAGTTCAAATCCATCAAGTTTTCTGCAATAATTTGATGTATTTGCTTATTTGACATGGTAGTAATCAATTGTATTGAATATCCAGTAAATGGTCCATTTAAAAAAAATGTAGTGCCAGAGGTGCTTCTGAATGCACACAATTCTAGCATTTTTGTAAAAATTAAGTTTTATTTTACATTCTATTTCAGTTCTTCCCTCATAATACTGCTGGTGTAATTCTTGAGTCAAAAAGAATATGGAAACCTTGGGATTCCTTTGCAATCCAAAGCATTAGTATTCCAGAACTCAAACAGAATTTTGAGTTGAACAGTAATATATTGGAAAACTGTGCAATACTTCAAAAATGGGGCTTTTGAATGTACAGAAGTTGAAATGTAGTCCTTTTTGCCAAGTCTTTAAAGCATCTCACCTCTTCCAGGTAGCACCATCTTCTAATTGGTTAGTTTCTCTTTGTCACAAAACAAATAGAAAATTTATATCACTGTCATAAATTACAAATACAAACAATTTAAGGGTAGGGAATTTAAGCAGTATTTCTTTACACTAATCAGTAGCAATGGCTCACAGGAAGCAAACCAAAGAATTGAAACTGCAAACATTATTCTTTAGTAAATGATATTTCTCTGTAGTTCTCTGGTTATTAAAAATAGACATGTCAGAATATGGAATATGCTTCCTATTAGTCCACTCATCTAAAAAACACCACAAATCAGGTCTAAGAATATACAAAAGGCGATGAGTCTTGGAAGGAAACTATTTGAAACAATGTCTTCATATTCCATGACTAATGAGCAAGCAGAAGACAAACTCCAGGAGAAACTATTTCCTGGAATTCATTTCCTATAATTTTTATCTGTGAAAAGAAGGTTCGGCCTAATAGATAAGAAAGGTGATTTTTCTTCCATCAAGGGTGCCCTACCCTTGTTTGTCAGGTGCTGCATTGAGCATATTGCTGCGCTGCCCAACCCTGATGGTCATTCTCCCAGATGCTCTTGTGGAGAGTTCAGGTGTTTTGCTTTTCAAATGATGTTTTTTCAAGCTTGCCAGAGTAGCCTTCCAATGTGGGCTTGGCTGTTTCTGCCAGCGCTCTTTTGTCTGCCTGAGGTTCAAGGTAAGTGGCAGAGTCTTTGAATGCCTGCCAGAGGCTACCTTTTAAAAGCAAGGTTTGTGTTGCTTGTGGAGGGGGGAGGGATTACTTGCCTCTATAAAGACACGTTATCTGACATTCTAATTATTCTTTATGTTATTCAATTATTCTTTACATTGGGACTTCCTGGTCAATATGGAGAAAGTCTCTCTGCCTGTAGACAGGAGACTGTCTGACTGCTTTGATACTGTTCTCCTGACGCTGGATTTCTGACATTTACATCAGTTCGTGGCTTGTAAAAATGAGATTTTGGACAAGTTCACTCTCTCTGTCTCTCTGTTTCTGTCTGTCTGTCTGTCGCTCTCCATCACCAGCATCCTTGAGTGTGCTTTACAGTTGATTCTTATCTAGTATTCCTACATAGAAATACTAGAAATAGAAATAGAAATATTTCATGCTCTTCTATTTAAAAATAGAAGAGCATGAAAAGGTTTCTGTGTCTTTTCTTTTTATATATATAATTATGTAGTTTATTTATTTATTTTTGCTTTTATAATATCAGATAGCTGCATTAACATAATTCCAAAATAAGTTCTAAAAAGAAATAAAGGAAATACAAAATATATTCAGCATCATCTAAATAAAATGTCAGGTACTACTGTGTTTCCCCGAAAATAAGACCCTGTCTTATATTTTTTGAACCCCAAAATAAATGCTTGGCCTTATTTTGGCAGATGTCTCATTATTTTGGGTTGCATGGAGCAAGATGGGGCCCCTTTTGCCATCTTATCTGATTTCCAGCTCTGTCTCCCTTAATCCTAACCAGAGGAAATGGCTGCGCATGAGTTTAAATATTTCTGGGAGGGCTTATTCTTATTAATAAGATAAATCATGTGGTCATCTTTTGTGACCTTCTGACAAGCAAAGTCAATGAGGAAGCCAGATTCACTTCCTTGGAAAATTTTTAGTTTATTCAACAAAGGTTAAAATACAACGCGCCAAAATATTTTAAAAAGGACAAAAGAATAAAAAACACAGAAAATACATTAAAAGGTGTCTTTAGGGGGAAAAAAAAGACTACCACATATATACATAACATCTTTCCGAGTTGAACGCTGATTAATATAATACAGCAATGCTGGTTTCCCATCCCTTGCAAAAGAGGCCAATTTTTTTAAAAAAATACTAAACTATTCAATCTATTTACAAATTGTTAGCCTGTCATCTATATACAATATTAATAATAAAATAGCTAACAGAAAAAAACAATAATAATGAATATATTATATATAGTAATAAAAATTGTGAACAATAAGAGAAAGATAAAACTGAAATTCTAAAAGCCTCTGTTAAAAAACTGTTATTGTAATCAACTCATAGAAAATTTACCATGGCTTCAAACCCAAATCCCAAATATTAACTCTAATTGGTCCCAGATAAAACATCTATGTTTGTTGCTTTATATCAACTCTTTCCAATTGCTAATTAATTGAATACAATGTCCAATCTCCAAAGCCAATCTATCTTCCCCAACAAAACCAGATAAAATCGTTCCTCAATAAGATGTATTAAATCCATTTACCATTCTCCTTCAAACTCCTTATAAATCCATTTGCCATTTGTCCACCTAGAGTTTTCTGCTATTATACAAAAACACAGTGTTAAGCTTCCGAAAAGTATATGGAGTCAGCTCTATTATTTCTTATATTTCTTCCTGGCCAGTTTACCGCTAGTAAATCACATTTCTTCTTAATGTTTTCCACCATCTGTTTCTGTGTCTATATTTCTTCTCAACGAATCTACTACTTTGAAAATAAATTCTTCTTGTAGGTTTAAACTATTTATTGTCTATTGTTTTTTTTAAATGCTTTGCACGGTCTTTATAAATTCATCAAACCTTTTTTTAAAAATTCAGTTAAAGATTGCATGTTGCTAGTAGATTCTTGAGTGTCAGCCTCATTCTTCTCTTCGTAATCTGATATGTTGTTGCTCAAAGAGCAAGCAAAGAAGACAGAGGAAATATTTTCTGACTATTTTGATCCAAAAAGTTCTTGTAGGTTAATAAAATACAAATCTGGAGTCATGTGCTGTGTTTCCCTACAAAAAGCAGAAATTCATAAGAGCAGTCAAATAAATCCAAGAAAGAAAGCAAAAAAGAAAACAGAAAGAATCCAGCAGGGGTTAAAATAAATCAGCATTCAGCTGGCCAATTACCCTTTAAAGATAAAAAGAAAAACAGAACTTCAAAAAGTGAATTTAAAAGTCCCAGGCATACTTACGAAAACATTCTGTCGGTAGGAAGAGGTGTAAACATCAGCTGCTCTCATAAGGAGCTGCAATCTTCAAGATTCCCCCTCCTAGGTGTTTTCACAGCCATCCAAAAGTTGTCTTGGATCATTTCTAAGTGCCCCCATTCAAATCCAGGCACCAAGACTGTCAAAGAACCAGTTCTGGCAGCAAACACAGCAGATCATGAGTAAGAGAAAGAAAGCCTCTTACTTCTCAGCTGCCGTCTTGGGGAGAAATGCTTGGAAGCCAGATTCATTTAGCAGCCATGTTACTAACAAAAACTGCAATGATTTATTTAATAACTATGGCAACAAACGTCATATAATGAGGCAAAATTCACTTAACAAATGTATCACTTAGCAACAGAAATTTTGGGCTCAATTGTGGTCATAAATTGGGGACTAACTGTATAAGTCTAATAAGTAATAATAATAATAAGTCTTGCTATCCACACAGCTTCTATAACTGCTGCTAATATGTCTCTTGTATGGGATTATCAAGATCAGTAACTATACATTTCTGAAAATGTTTTGTTGTTGTTGTCCCAAATAATGGGATATTAAATTCTCAAAATTAATATAAGATCATATTACCAAAGCTCTAATATGTCTATTGCCCAGAAGAGATTTAAGCTGATACCAAAAAGCCACAGTAGTTTATCACCTATTTGTTGCTCTACATTATCTTTATTGAGAGGTTCATCTTTGCTATAAAAATCTTTTAGTCTTAGTTTTATAAGCTCTCAAAGATATAATTTTAGCCAAACCATAACTATTGGGGTAAAGTTTTTTTTAGTTTTTAAACATACATCAATATCATCAATATCATTGCATGTGGAGGCACCCAGTCGACCCATGATCCTGTCCACTTCATCCAACGAAACAGGCTCAACCCAAATGTTTCATTCAGGACAGGCCCCCGTCAGCTCGTCAGACTCTGCCGAGTTGGAGTCCAACCCAGTCTGAATCTGAGTGATTTTATCTTGCAGAAACTGTACAAAATCCTCAGCTGTACCCTGCAAGAGGTCCTCTCTCGCTCCATGATTGAGAAGAGAGCGGGTCACTCTAAACAGAGCAGCTGGGCGATTTTCTGCAGATGCAATGAGAATGGCAAAATATTGGCGCTTTGCCGCTTCCATTGCCACAAGATAAGACCTAATATAGGTTCTTAGCTGTGTTCGGTCGGATTCGGATCGGGTGGATCGCCAACTGCCCTCCAGGCGTCTTCTCCAACGCTTCATTTCCCTGAGCTCCATGGTGAACCAAGGAGCCACCCAGGATCTGTGTCGGGTCAGAGGCCGCAAAGGCGCAATTCGATCCAAGGCCCCGACTGCGGCCTGTTCCCAGGCTGTTCCCAGGGCCTCAGACGACTCATGGGATAAGGAGGTGGGAAAAGACCCAAGCTCTGTCAGGAACCCTTCCGGGTCCATCAGGCACCTGGGGCTGAATAATCTCACCGGTTCTGCCTCCCAGCGGTGAGCAGTGACAGAGAGAAAGTCCAGCCTGAGAAGGGAATGATCGGACCATGATAGGGGATAAGTTGACAAGTTTCCCCTACCACGATTATTTATCCACTTTCCAGAGAGAAAAACTAGGTCGAGTGTGTGTCCTCCCTTATAAGTTGGGCCCTGTACAACCTGAGTTAGGTCCATGGCCATCATGGAGGCCATGAACTCCCAGGACTGACTCAGATGTCTCCCCACCCGATGGCAGATTGAAATCTCCCAGAACCAGAAGGTTGGGGAGTTCAACTATCAATTCGGTGAGGATATCTAGCAGTGCGGGCAGGGCTGAGACTACGCAGCTGGGAGATAGGTACGTAACCAACAGACCCGACTGAACTCCAGGGTCCCATTTCAGAAGGAGGGACTCACACCCGCCTATCTGAGGAACAGTGACCTCTCTAGGACTAAGACTTTCCCTAATAACAACTGCCACCCCCCCGCCCCTACCCTGGAGTCGTGGCTGGTGCAAAACACAGAAACCTGGGGGGCATAAATCAATGAGAGGGACACCACCCTCCAGCCCTAACCAGGTCTCCGTGATACATGCCGGGTCCATGTCCTCCTCTTCAATTAGATCTCTGACAAGGAGATCTTAACCTCTAACATTCACTTCAAATGTGTTATGTAAAAATATGTATAACAATATTCCCCGTTTCTAATTTCTTACTCTATTCTAATTCTCAGTATAGCCAATCTTATTATTATTATTTTTTTAAATATATTTCTATCAATCATCTCTCACCCTGTTGGAAGTTTTACTTCTTCTCTTTTTAACTTGCCTCCCATACTTTTCCCTTGGGTCCTCATCTATGTCATTCATTTCAAGCCAACCATTATTTCCATCTATTTTTTGCTGCCAGTCTACCCACGGCAGCAAAATCCTCTGTCTTTTTTCCAAAAATATTTTTTGATTTATTGAATTCCATTTTTCTACCACCTAATATATATTCTCCCAACTTTATTTCATCCAACTTTATTATCTCCTCTTTCTTTTCTCCTTGTTCTATTTGTTATGTGATCTGTTCTATCTCATCCTCTAAGCTTCCAGTTATCTCCCATTTCCTGGATTTTATTATCTTGATTCATTATTCCTTGTTGCACATTTTCAGTCTTTCCAGCTATGTTATGTAGTAAATCCTTTATCTCCCTGAAGTTCCCCATCATAGTGTCGTAAATGTTTTGGAGTAACAACATAGTTTCTTTTTGAAGTGCCTCTGATTCTTCCTGAAGA